TACCATGATATATATTCGATAGCTACAAACTGCTGAAAATATACATATGATACTACAGAGGTATCGTAGGATTATTATTGTTTTCAGTGTTTCTTTTTAGGGTGTAAAAGAATGTTTCAGAATTCATGTTCAAAATATTCTCAAATTCAGTTGATTTAACAGGCTTTTAAATAATTTTTTAAAACAAAAATTTCATTTTCTAAAAGGACAGATGAATATGTTGTGACATATCTCGTTTAAAACATGGAAAGTATTGTATTGTAAAATGCATATCTCGTCCAAAGTATTTATGAAATTTCACGACGACATATTTCGTTCTCGAATTTGAAGAGATTAATTAAATACAATATAATATAACAATCCAAGTAAATTTATTATCAATATATGGGAGATTCAAATGCGCTAGTTAATGTATGTTATTTCCTATAAAAATTTTTATACCAAATAAACACTCTTTTTTTTTTATTAAAACTATCAGTCAATGAAGCAATTTAGGCATAATGTCATAATAATGACTGAACTATTTCGTTAACTGCGGGAATTCAAGAAGAGAATGATATTTGATAGTATAATTTGTTTTTTATGAGACATGATTGATTAATGTATTTATAAAAACTTTGATTAATGTATTTATAAAAAAGATGTAAAAATTATTTGCACACAGTGCAAAAAATAAAAGAAAGTAAAATAAAAAAAATAAGAAAAATATTTTTTATAATGTTTAATAGATAAAATAGTTTTCTATCTATGTTAGAGTTTATTTTTTTCTTAATTATCTTTATACAAATTTCAAATATATAAAAATTCGCAATCTACTGGTTGGCTTCTGACCTCTATTTTTTGATTAATGATAATACAAGTTGCTTTACCAAATAGAAAATAGCACAGATATATATACCTCTGCGTCTACAGTTTCTTTCATCCTCAACATCGGTAATGAAATCTTCCACTAATATTTTCATTTTTTTCGCTTTTTTTTCTACCCTAAACCGAGAAAATAGATGGAAAATTTTTCACTGCAGTTAGTAAAGTTTTAGTTGAATATGCTACACGTGGATATTGCCTCAATGCTTTTACGTATGCTTGAGAAAAAAGTGAAAATTCGTGGTAAGTGTTCCAGAATCGACGGAGTTGTATATTCGTATTATATGTAATTTATATCGAAATTACTGGGACTAACTATTATTATCAGTGCTACTATAGAAGTGACAAAAATCTCTTAGAAATATTTTTAAAATATTTAGAATCAATCTTCTCTAAAAATATTTTCCAAACAATGTGCATAATAAAACATAGACACGTGTAGATATTGTCGTTCAAAAATCTTCGACACTTTTTTTTTAAATTCAATATTTATCGTAGATAATAAAATTTTTAATATTATTTAATATTATTTAATATTAATATTATTTAACTCAATTATTAATATTATTTAACTCAATACTTTACATATTTTTTGTTGTATAAAGTTTATAATAATGTACAATTATTTTTTAAATAATAAAATCATAAATTATTTGTAGAAAAAAAACCAAACTATTATTATCAGTGCTAAAAAAAATAAAGAATTATTTCATTTGATAATCAAATAATGAAATAATTTCGAGAAAAATTATTTGCTTACTCAGATAAACTGACGCAAGTGTTCAAGGTTCTAACAATGGCGATAACAAGGTAATGACATTGGTAAAGTGCTCGTCCCAAATTCCAAATAGTGAATAGAATTTCAAATTCTGAATGCGAATCTTAAAATTCCCGAATAGTAATTTCTTGAATTTCTGTATATTGATGCTTAGATTACGATTTCTATCTTCCCTTTGCTGCCTGCGAGCCTATTTTATACAGATGTAGGCAAAAGTATTCATGGACTCGATGAAAAATTGTCTATATTCTAAATTATTATAACTTTATAAAAAAAGTCGTATAACAATCCAGTTGACCTGGTTTTTAAATGTGTAGCTTCTACATAATTTTTTTCAAAAATGTTTTTACATCTTGTAATAAGAAAAGCAAGAATATTTTGTCAAAATTCGAAAATTATTAAAATTAAAATACCTCTGAAAACATTAAAAGTTCTTTCCATGACTAAATCTACCATAGTCTTCAAAATCTTTTCTTTACAACGATATTTTAAAATCTTACTGTAAAATTTTTTTTTCACCATTTTACTGAACCACTTTAAATATTTGGGTTAAATGGCAAAATATTAGAATTTTTTGAATTTTTGTTGTTTTGATATTTAAGGTTCAATAAAATGGCGAAAAAAACAGTAAGTTTTAAGGAGCTGACGTAAAGAAAAGACTTCAATTTTCAAAATTATAGTAGACCTAGTTATGAAAAAAATTTTTTAGTAACATTGAAGTCGTTTAAATTTTTTTCAATAAAAGTATGTTTGCTTTTCCACCTGTGGCATAATGCAGAAACATATTTAGGAAAAAGAACTTAAAATTCGTATAATAATAATAACTCTTGTTAAGACTTGGATTGGTATACGATTTTGACTTATGAAATTTGAATGGTTTAAAATATTAACAATTTTTCATTGGATGTGCAAATACTTTTATTGACTTCTGTACAAGTTAATTAGCTGACGCTAGTGTTAGGAGTGTCAGTAATTAAAAATTTTTCTTAATTGATAAGATGCAGACTTCCAGCCATTCTTCAAATTCTTAATCTCAGATCATTCCACCTATTCTCAAAATTAGCAATCAGCAGATACAGCAGATCCAGGTATGCACACAGCCCTCACTCGGTGTACGCCCATTATTATAAAAGAACCTAAACGCCCAATAAAGTTTCAGTTTTGGCTTATAACTCGAACTTCTTTCATTATTACCTTGAATCGTTCTGAAATTGCGGTGAATTGTGTTATAAAGTTTTATTTCTTTTAAAGTCCAATCATTTTTTTTATTCCTCTTTATAAACATAACAGTTTGTTTAGTGAATCATATTGAAATTTATTCACTTGTTCTCATTTTTTATTAAATCTACCTCCGTCAATGTGACACCAGCCGTCGGGGCATCAATCGTGTATTTTCCGTAGAAAGTATTAGCTCCAACTCTAACAATCCCCGATTTACTAGTTTACCGCGAAAACAGTCGATTCACAGCACGATGCGTAAACGTTGTTATGTTGTAAGAGTATAATTAAACTTTACAGTTTTACAATTATACTTTACAGTTTCACAGAATTATTTATTAGAACAAGACAAGACTTTCACTGTTGAACTTATAGATACAAAAATATTATAATAATAGCTTGTTCTTACAGCACTGCTGAACTATTTCTGTCTGTCGATTCTTTCTGCTGTACTTATATCCTATCACATTGGTACTTTGATTCTTGGTCAAAGTATCTATTATTGCACGAAATTAAGGATTCCTGTTTACATTAATTGTGTTTTTGCATGTTCATATTTAATATTTACGGAACCAGAGATCAGGAGCGTCGCGCGACGGTTATCGATTCTCGAGCCTGTTAGTTTGTGTTAAGCCGAAACGGTCTATTTCAACCTTCTCATCGATATCGTTTATTATCTTTTTTTTTTGATCACTTACAACAAAACGATTAAACGGCTAGGTCTTCAAATGTGATTGGCTAATCAAGCCGATATAATAAAAGCAGGCTCGCGGGCGGCCGCGCGTTAGTATCAGCAAAATTCTCGTGAGTCATCAAAATTCGCTACAATCAGCAATATTCTTAATTGAGTCAATCAGATTCAGAAAAATAAGTAAATCAAGATTTTCCAGTTGGACAAGCCGTTCTAAAGTCCACTGCGACAATTTCACAAACCAAACACCCAGTACTATAAGTCACACAAAACGACTTAACAGTATCTTAAGACGATTCAGGCCTGATTAATTCCTAACAACGTATCCAGAGAGAACCGAATTATTAAAATACCAACTCTCGAACTCAAGGAGGTCTCTCCCATTCTATTAGATCTGTCACAAATCGCTAAATCTAATTCTAAATCAAATTCTATTTCTTCAAGTCCTATTTCTAATTCTAATTCGAATCTTGGTGAAGATTACAGAAAAATTACAGAACCTAACTTAAAAAAGAAATGGAAGAAATAAAATTCTGTCCTGTGAACATTTAAATAAAGAGGAACAGGCACACTGGAGGAGCTTATCACGATCAAAATTATGTCTCGTCTGCATAAGAAGCTAAGAATCAATAAACAATTCAGTTGAGCTATGAAAAGTCTCTCTTGTAGAATTCTTTTTCGTGCCTTGTCGAGCCTCTCAGTATTTTCATATCAAGTATTACGTGGTTAATACTTTAATTTTTTATAACAAATCACCGATTGTGGACAAGCCCCGATCGCTGCAATGGAATAATCGCGTATTTCTTCGTTATAACGTCAGAAATATATTTCTTGGCATTGAGTGACGAACATTCAGTACTGGTGTCTTAATCAGTATTTTTGTTTGGAGTAATCTCCTCTTACCACCGTGACATTAATTACGATTTATTTGATCTACCCGATGACAAAGAAAAACTGACACCGTCGAACACTAAATACAGACTACCAACATTCCTGCCCATAACGGTATAGATATCCACCAATACACAGAGATGAAAATAAGTTATGAGTATTAATTAATAAATAAATGCAAGAATTGTTAGAAAATGATATTGTTCATCCATCCAAATCTTTTTATAATTCACTTCTGTGGATTGTGTAAAAAAACCGAACGAGAACGGAAAGAAACATTGGCGAATGGTAATCGATTATAGAACATTAAATGAAACAACAATTCCAGATGCTTACCCACTCTCAAGCATTTCGGTAATTTTGAATCAGCTTGGAAGTACTAAATATTTCAGCGTTTTCGATCTCGCAAATAGTTTCCAAATAGAATAGGAATGGAGAAGAAAGACGCAAAAAAAAACAACGTTCTTTACTCTCTACATCATTACGAATATATGCGAATATTCGGTTTTAACGCCTACAATATCGTGTGAAACTCGTGGCAAGGAAATTGGGCCAAATATGTGTATCAGGGGTGAGAGTCGTGGTATGTCGATCGGGTCAAACGTAAATAACACATACCAGGCTCGTACTTTCTAGACAGAGCTCAACGATACGACTCGTGGTTAATTTTCGCCGATGTCTTTCTATTTCAGTTATGTGTTATTTTTCGTGCCGCATTCGCACGTTCAAATATATTTTCTTAAATATATTACAGAAATAGCTCTAAAAAAATGTCTTCAAAAAGAAAGCATTGATGAGAACAGTGAAAGTTGTACTAACATTGCAAATAATGATTTGATAGATATTTTTAATAGTGATATTGATAGTAATGATATTTTATTTCCTACGAAAACGTTGGAAGCCATTGGTCATTAAAGACAATACCAACGATGAAGACCACATTAATCATCAACTACCAGAGCAATGGATATAGGGGAAAAAAAAATAATAAACTAAAAATCTGGAATTATACGGAGGGAGATTCCTGGCGTGAAAGTATCAATTTTATATCAATTATATCAATTATATTAAAAAAAATTAGATATTTTTAATATGATATTTGATATGTTCTGGAAAAATATTGTAACGGAGACGAATCAGTACGCAGAACAAACTATAAACAATAAAAATAAAAGACGAAAGATCGACGAAACTTGGTTTCCTGTAGATTGTAATGAAATAAAAATGTATTTTGCATTACGTATAATAACGGCTCAAGTAAAAAAAATCAATAATTCAAGTGAATTTTTGGTCTAAGAGGACTGTTATAGAAATGCCAATATTTAGAAAAACGATATCATTACAGAGATTTCTGCAAATACTACTAGTATTTGCATTTAACTTAGATGTTTGCATTTTGCAAGTAACGATGGTTGACAATGCGAATAAATTACGCAAAATAAAACCTGTGACAAATATTTTTAAATTAAATTAAAAATTTAAAGAAGTGTATACAATGGAAGAGGATATTTGTTACGTCTCGGCTCGACGGACGACGGAAGATAGCGAACGCTATAGTTCAGCCGAAGTGCGTAAACACCATGCAATCTTTTGCCCAACCGGCACGTACGTTTGATTCTGGGATCCGCGGTGAAGTCTGCAGATTGGAACGCCTTCAGGATAGGATCGTTTGTTGCGCGTTAAAGTTATTCCGTCGCGATACGTTCGCGGTGTTAAACAGTCAGCTCGAATTGGCAGGATGTCATACGCCCTATGCGTCATATGCCTTATGATCAGAAGCCATCCCATTGCTTCCAAAAATGTCATAATAGTTCAAATAAATACAGCCCGGAAAAATAAAGAAGTCAGTCAGTTTGTAAAAGATCTTCAACTTGCGTCTTTATTCTGTCCAGTCTTGTTGCACATTTGTTTTTCTTGAAATCAACCGGATCCTACCGTGATATCAGCATAACCTATGCAAACTTTCAGAGGAATCCTTGATCCTTAACTTAATAGTAACAAACTTGTGAAGTACGGTGTTATCTATGACGAATGTTAAGTATTGATTGTTTCTCTTTGAATAAAAAAACCATAAATTTTAATTTTTAGCGGGGATTATCCTTCGAGGACTTCATAAGTTTGTTACCATTATGGCTTCGTTCTTAGAAACGTTAGAACTCTAATAAAAATTGAAAAAAAAGATTTCTGACAAAGATTAAGAAATTCCGTTTTATTACACGGGAGGACTTTTCCTGTTTCCTTACAATGGAATATTTTAGAAGAATAACCTTCATACTGCATAACAATTAGAAAAAAAGCGACGCCAGTTCCTGTAAGTATACAAGCGTTATTCGATATTTCGAATTTGCTTATTACGTCTCGAAGAGTTGCTTTCGTATTATTTTTTTTAATAGGAAATGTTTATATCTAAAACTAATTTTCACTTTATTAATTAGTTTCACAATTAATTAAGTTTTGAAATAAATGTTTGTGAATATAATATTTAAAAATAATTATAATATTAACATAATAATAATTTTCATAATAAATTGTTAATAATTGTATCTTGGGTGATATATTTCGAAACAAGGATTCACACATATAAATCTACATTGTAAATTTTACATTGATTCCGCTTTCACATTGATTCGCCGCTTTCTTTTTAGTATTATCACTTTTATATATAGATGGAAAATGTTTTTCAGTTCGGATTATTTTATGCGGATTTGTTACATTTAATAATTTTTTATGACAGTTTAAAGTTTCCAGAATTAACTGCAAATAAGATTTTTTGTTTTAAATTTGTATATGCGTTTCAGAGCCGTATGTATTGAATAAGTGAAAGAAATATTTTTTATACCACTTGATGTTTTTTCTTTTAAAGTGGATAGGGTTTGTAATCATATGTAATTTATTTACCCATTAAACGATTGTAATCGACTATTTACTTTTTTATAATTTCTTTTGTACGATAATATTCTTTCGTATTAATCAATTCTATAGAGTGGCAGCATTTATAATAAAATATATAAAATATATTAAGATACATTATATAATAAAATAATAATATACACTTCTCTTTTCTCGTATCACTTTCATCGTATTGCTAATAAATAATTTTCGCCCTTTTTTCGTCAATTTTTGGCATTTTTTTACGTCTTTTTTAACTATATCAAGCATTCAACTGTTATGCAAAATAGACTATACTAATTGTCCACATACAGTGTTATCCTTTTTTTCAAATAAGTAAATACATTACAATCGATTTTGATTTTCTAATATTATCATATTCATTGTTACTGTTGCAATTATATCCATCACAAATCAATAATTATTTGTTGAGACAATGGGTACTATAATGTTTCAAAGAAAAGCAATTGAAAATAATCTAAAATTGATGACGATCTTTCCTTTTATTCCTGAACGTAATTTCAAAAATTTATGAATTTTAAACTGAAAGTCTAAATTTCATAAAACTCCATAATATTGCAGGTACATTCTTTTCTTCAATTGGATTTTTTCGTATTCATTTTCAGATTCGAAAATGCTCAATATATTTCTTTTAATTCTTTTATGACTTAAAATTTACATTATATCTTTCTTTGTCTGATGATAAAATATTTGCATTTTTCTTTGATGGTTTCTCAACAATTCTTTTTGTATTAATTTGAATCATTATAAAGTGAGTAATATCTAGAAATATAAATACGATAGTTTGTATCATTTTCTCTATTTTTTGATGCGATAAAATTGTAAAAATTTAAATAAGTTTCTCATAGGAAGAACAAAAGTATAATTGTAACTCATGATATTATGCTTAATGTACGATTGAACGTAATCACAATTATTAGTATAAATTTGATCTACTTGATCTATTACAAAACAAGAACATTTAAATATTTTTATGCTTTTTTCCAATGATTTAAAAATATTAATTTTACATATTTTTCTAAGTACCATGAGAAATTCACATTAAAATGATATTCGTTCGTATAAAGCGGGATCGTCAGGATATAAAGGATTAAAGTCTACAAAAGAAACTGTATTTTTTGTAATCTCCTTGTTTCTCTTGGAGATCGTTTCTTTCGTCAGAGAGAAAACTATTCTCTCTTCGCTTACTTCTGTTCCTCTGCAGAATTTAGTGTTTGAGTTTTAACGTCGTTGCAGCTCGATGGATTAAGCAATATGAATCCAATTTGCGCGTTTGTATTTGAGAAGAATAGTGACAGTGAAATGAAATGGTACGTACGATTCCGATAGAAGATTGTAATAAGTGGACTGTATATTTGTGATTAATTGTCGTACGAATCAGTATGTTAATTAATTCGTGGATTGTACGTGGATCAAACGATTCACGAAATCTTTATGTGTTACACTATGAATTATAATTTATTGTAACGTTCTCTTGATTTGATAACGCACTGAAATTCCACACTGATGGCGGACATGCTTTATATAGGAATGTGATGGTAAGTGTTAGATATTCACTTTGAAGCTTGATTGCCCTAACGTAATTTGCCCTCGAAAACGATGAAATTAAATATTAATAGGGTGATCGGTTTTAAATGTTTCTAAAATATCCTAAATATAACAAACACGTAGATCAGCAACCGGAAAAAAGACAATAAGTATCGTGCCATTAGTATCGTAACATTCGCTATAATGTTATAATGCTACAGAGCATTAGGACTTCTTGCCAGTATAAAAAATGGGCAAGTTGTTACCATTATTCAAACATGCGTAAATAGAATAATAAATTCTTTTGTGGACAAGAAGCCTGATGTCTTTTATACAAAATAATTCAAACAATTATAATTATAGAAAATAGTCCGAACTTACCGCCTGTCTTAAATTCTCGCACTCGACACATTCAATACAAAATACTACAAGTAATCTAAACATATCTTAAAATTATCATAACGCACACAATGTACTAATCACTTATATGGTCATACAAACAATTATTCTAACTACATCTATATTGCTTGTTTAATGAGAAGTGTCATTCATACTATTTACAAGGAATTATGTGCAATAGTCTCTCAATTCTCATCAATCCTTTGGTCATCAAAGGTCATCAATCTTTGATTAGATTCGATGGCAAACGATTTTTCGTGGAGATGGGATGCATATTTTGGCGACTGGTCGCTTCAATACACATTCAGTCTTGACGGAAATAACTCTTGTGATGCCATCCTTTCCTGGATGTATAAATATGCATAGATAGATCCTGCCTAGCTTCCATCGTAGCGGGGGCAAGTTGTCTTCCTTTAGTACCACCATGGTACCCACTCCGAAATGTTTTGGAATAGCTGTTCTCCAGTTGATGCGTTATTGCAACTGATGGAGATAGTCAGATTGCCACCGTTTTCAAAGCGTCGGTTGATTACTTGCAAAAGCTAGAAACAGTTAAAACGATGAATTTGAACGCGAATTCGGTAATAGAATCATGATTAGAAATTAGGATATGCCTTTATATTGCGTATCTCATTACGCGTCCCGACGAAGTTCGTGTCAGAATATATTTTCTTGCATTAAAATGGCGCAAGGAGTTCAAAGATGCCTCAGTGGTGAGACCTGTGTACAATTTTAAGTGCAGAGTTTTCGTAGCTAAACACACGAATAGCCATATGTATGAAAGTGGTTTTGCTGCGGGCTCTTTTTCGCACATAAAATCAACGCCAGTGGAAAACAACGGGCTTCGGACAGTTATTTGGTAATTATCCTATTATATAATTCGTCTTACGCAGATTTGTTTTATTACAGCGTATGCAACCCCGAATTATCTCCTTAATCAAGTTTCTGGCCGCGAGTCAATATCGCCTTCTAATCATGGATAGAACGAATTCACGACCGGCATGTAGCATGCTCGTGCTCTCTGATAATTATGAGTTTCGTTACGGCACTATCCTTAGGAAAGACTCTTTAATGCCGCTACTCGTAGTCTGCATTCGCGAATGCAAACCTATCGACCTGAAGTAGTCCCTTAGCATCCAGAAAAGAGTTTAGATAATTTAATTGACTTGTCCTGGAAATTCCCTTGTTTGCTTGTAAATTGTACATTTGTTTGTTAAATGCACGTGTTTGGACGATTTTGATTATGGCAGTTTCGGCATTGTCTAATTCATGTCTGCGCTAAATGGCGGCTGAAGTTCATAGGCTTTGCTTCGAGCTAGGTTCTGGATTTCCGTGACGCGATTCGCTACGAAAGTAGATTCCAACGATCCGAAAATCCATTTATCCACGCCAGATCCATCGAATCGGTCCAATAGGTCTCATGTTGAATCGTGAGACTTGAAGCGAGACATATCTTGGTTGTTAACTAGCTTAACAACGCTCCACACAAAAATGCGACAGACTTATTGAGCACAATAACCGAACAGCAACGCCGCGTATCATCTATCGTAGAGCATGCAAGTCTTTTCAGATGCATTACAAAACCTGTGAATTTCAGTCCGCACGGACGTTTTCGTACATATCCAATATGAAATTGTCAGCCTACTCAATTCTGTAGCGTTAGATTGGAATTTACGAAAATCTTTAGCTATGTGTGGCGGCATCATTTCATCCCAATTCCGACTGTCATAAAACTTGCATTAATAATTTTGCCTTAACGCGGGAGCCAATAATCCGAGAGTATTCACGTGGAACCGAAAGTACCGCGTTTGACTCCGCATTTGTGTGCTCATGGCGAATTGTATCGAGTCCCAGGTCCCACAATAAACCGAGTGGGGATCCCTATTCGTTTCGATAATCGGTATTACTATCTAGGCGTTGTCTCGACAACCGCAACTTTGGATTCGTTCAAAATTTCCTCCAATTGTATTATAATTTTCGTCGCTCTTCCGCCGCCGTTTTGCGCCGGTTAACAAATCATCGATATAAAAATCCTTCATAATTGCGCGACTCGCGCTTACCTGCCTTAATGCTTACTTGTTGCAGCACGCGTGTCGCAAGAAACGATGCAGTAGCCGTGCCGTACGTAACCGTATCTTCTCGCTAAAAAATCCATGATAAATTCGCTGATCGGGTTTCATGCTGATCGAGATGCACCTCTATGTCTGCGCTCAGGATGCTGACGAAAGCGCACAGGAATAGAAAATAAATCATCCAGACCGACTAATTGGATGTCATTTAGCGAAAATCCACTCTACGTTTTCGCGGAACCATTGAAGACGTGAATCTTTGTCATTGTACTAGTTTCCTTCGTTACCGCATGATGCGGTGTGACTATTTGTTTGAAATATTCCTCGCAAGAGAGCAGGTTGCTTGTTATTGCTCGGAGCATTGTTTACTTTTCAAAATTGTTAACACCGTTTGTAAAGCGATTATTGTTTGAAATATAATTACTCAAAGAATAATTAATAGATTAATATAATTAATATTATTATATTTTACAATTTTAATTTGTAATTTTTTAAAATCTGCATTTCGTATTTTCCTTTTATAGATGTGCGTATGCGCATTTATCTCCATCTGAATATTTGTTTCATATTCAGACCAATAATATTGGTTTTTCGAATATATGTAGATATATTTTATGAATCAAGAGTTCATAAAAGTTTAATGGCAAGTGATTATGCCGTAGTTGGCTGTGATTACGTACTTGATCAATAGATTTTCCTTCTATTCATCGAATTAATGTAAATTGTAAAATAACATAAAATTATATATTTAAAATTACATATTAATGTATAGTAATATATAATAAGTATATAATGTTTATATTTGTGGTAAATGATATAGCAAAATTATAAAATATAACAATTCTAAGTGTTACCGCAGGAATGTTAAATATTCTTGCCCTTTGTATCTTGGTTTAGTCTGTATTTCTGTTAACTATCTTTAGGGTCAATATTTACTAGATCAGGACTCAGAAGCACAGGCATACTACACAAGATACTTGCTGATATCACGTTGACGAAGGTAGGTTTAATAAAAAATGAGAACAAATGGGTAAATTTCACGTGTGATCACTTCACGATTCACTAAACAAATTAATATATTTTATGAAGAGAAAAAAGAAAAAAATGATTGGACTTTAAAAGAAATAAAACTTTATTAACGCAATTCACACCAATTCCAGAACGATTCAAGGTAATAAAAAAAGAAGTTCAAGTTATAATCCAAGACTGAGACTTTATTGGCCGTGTAGATTCTTTTATAATATTGGGCACCGAGTAGGGGCCGTATGCACGGATCTGGGTCGCTGAATCTGCTGACTGCTAATTTTGAGAATAGGTGAAGTGATCTGAGATTAAGAGTTCGGAGAATGTCTGGAAGTCTGCATCTTATCGGTGGGAAAAAATTTTTAAACTGCTGACTGCTGATACTGACCCGCGAGTCTGTTATGCTTAGTGTCCTTTAGAAACAGTTGGCATCTATTGTTCTATCGATGCTTTAATTTCATCATTTTCAAATGACCTAGGAAGACAATTAAACGGCCCTTTCTTGAATATGATTGCCTAGATCGAACTATCTCGTTCTAAATAAGCTCGTGGACGGACAAACAACTGTTATGACAACAATGACGTACAAAGACGTACAACGTTGTAGGTACGATATAACGATGCACTTACTCGTGGCTGACCACACTATCGAGTCTGGCTCTGGGTATTCAGCAATGTGTGTAATATCACACACTGCGAACGTGTCTTGTGCAACCGAAAGTAAACATTTGTAATTAAATGCGAACTACTAACTAAGAGATTTAGATAACGATTCTTGAAATTGTAACGTATCGTACATCGTGAAAATTAAATTGTTTTCAGTGACGCTGTTCGCAAGTCTGTTTTT